CTTGAACAAGCAATGTCAGGGCAGCCGTGCTTAGGAGTTGGGCCAGTATCCACAGCAGAAGTAAAAGGAAAAGATATACTTGTGAGCTGGAACTCAGAGAAGCAGACATGTTTAACAGTGAAGATTTGTAACCAAATACCCGAGGCTCTGTTTTCTGGAAAAGTATATTACCATTTTTTCTAAAGGAGAACTTAGTAATAATTTTGCTTAAGTACCTTATGATAGAGATTTCCAAAACAGCACTTACTTTAGATCTTTCTCCTCCACTTGTTCCTTTTTCTATAGAGATGGATCAAAAGCAGTGATCAGTAACCACGAACAGTCTACAGGTTATCCTTTCTTCAAATTTCCCTGGGCAAAAAAGTTTTAGTGCAACACTTTCCAATTCATCCTCGCTCAAGTTCTCAGGCCATGCACATACAGCATTCAGATTCCTTGCTACAGCATAGCATGATCTCATTCCTAGTTCCTGACAACATCCCTTTTCACCGCTGCAACTGGATGACACAGGGCCTTAAGTGTCTGCATTTCTCTGTTTTCCTGGTCCCCTAAACTTTCATCAGCATACCTCCCAATAAGCTTTACTTACAGCACTCTAGAGGATCTCTACCCTTTGGCTCCAATCTCTTTCACATTTGTTAGGTTCCTGGCAGACTATAAAATGGTGGTACAGCTCACATAATCTAAGATGGTGGGTTCAAACTGTAACCCCAGGCAAGTCGTCTGCTTCTTGGGAGACCACCCAGTCCTGAGCTAAACTGCCCAGCCCATGTCATGAAAATTTACCCAATCACCTAACTGCCTATAAAAGATGCCTGACTTCCCCGGTCACTGCTGTTTCTCTACTCCCTGAGAGGCAGCCCGGTGGTATGCTTGCTCTCAAATAATCTGCTACCCCCATGGTCTTTGCCATGTCTGCTTCCATATGTATGGCACTCAAAACCCAGGGAGGAATGCCTATGTTACTTGTGACTTGGTTCCTCCTTTCACTGAACCAAACTGCTGAGCGGGTGCTTCTACCTGTGATATGGACTGTTTTGCCTATGCCAGCTCCCACCACTCACCACATCAGACCCAAGATTACAAGTCCATCTGCTTTCCTCAGTACCCACTCACCCTCTTAGAGTTTGGGTAAGTGGTCTCCCTCAGAGCTGTGGATCTACATCTCTGCCTTCTTTCTCTCTCTCTGTTCCCCGTCCCTCTCCTCTCCATCTCTCATCTCCCTCCATCCTCTACCTTCCTGCCTAAAGATCTTCCTTTCTCTCCAGAGGTGTTTGACTCAGAAGCCTTACCTGTATGCTGAACATGTTCCCACACCTTACTGGGGGAACCCCTATCTTGTCCTCGGGATGCCTTGACAAGTGACTTGGGTCTTTTTCTCACTCAGAATGGCAATCATGACAGGAACACCTCTCATGGCTTCCAGTTCCCTCGGAAGACCACACCCTCTTCTTCCTAGTCCTGGACCTGGAAGGAACTCTTAAGAATTAGATGGCTCAGAAGCTCCAGGAGCTTCCTAATGTGCCCAGTGCAACCCCTTCCTTCCCCTCCTTTGCCAAGGGCTTGGAAGGTTTTCTGTCTTCCATCATTCTCTCTGTCATCTACTACTGTCTTTCTTCCTCATTTTACTTGGGATGATCTCTGATAACTACCTGATCCAATTTTAGGTCTCCCTTCATTCCATCTTTTACTCAAGGCTGTCCTCCTCCCCTCTCTAACAATGTATGAATTCCCTGCACAAGCTAAATGGTTCATATCCCCCTCCCCTCCCCTCCATAACCCTTGTTCTGCTTCTGAATCCAACTCCATACATTAGGTCTCTGTTTATCTGCCTCTGTATGAAATTCTCCAGAGAAGCATAATTTCTCTTCTTCCTTATATCCCTTTTCTAAACATGCTTTCGTTAATGCTTTAGATTACACAGCATCTTGTACTTATTTACCTTTCTTTAAAGCTTTCTTCTCCCTATCATGTGGCTGCGAATCTGTCAGGTGTCTGATCTCCAACGCAGGCTCTGAAGCTGCATTGTGTCATGGTCTTGTCCTAAAGCTTCTGTTTGGGTAAATTCTTTTACAGTTGAGACTGAGAACCCTCTAGGAGATGTTCTTTATCCCTATACCATCCTGGCAACCACTAAGGACCCCAAAATTCTAATAACTTATTTGTTAGCCATCTGGAAATTTTTTACAGGTGCTCTGAATTTGGCAAGTGAATTTTTTATGTATCTTGCTATCTTGTCTCAGGGCATTCAAGGGTGCAAACCACTTGCCAAGGTTTTAAAAGCCATTTCTTTTCTGAACTTTTTCTCAGGCTTTCAGGGGGAAAGGAAAATGATCAGAGGGGCACCAAACAGGCAGTACTTAGACCATGTCATCCCAAGGCAGCTGTTTTTCTCAATAGATCTAAGCATTTTAAATTTCAGTGTATATGGAAAGTCACAGGCCATGCTTTGGCAAGAACAGAGTAGTATTCCAATGATTTGTGTGTTGGACATTGCTCCCTGTTATCTTTTGTTGCCTTCATGAGTTTCTGTTCCAGCAACAGCCTGATTCTAGGAATGAAGAGTTCTGGATGACATTGCTTAGAATTCACAGTTGCTGGCTGGTGAGAGACATGGTCTCCCTTTCTTGGTCCGAGACCATGGATTCCTTTGCATTGCTTTCCTATTTGAGGTGAATATATTAGGGTAATTTCAGTAAATGCCTACAATGCCTACAATATACAATAACTATATGTGTCAATCAGACTATGGTCTTCTGACCTGAAAAGTGTCATAATTATTCTCACAAATATCTTTATTAAATAGTCACAGTACAGATACAAATTACTCTTTAGTTTCCCATTTTCAAACTTTGAACAAGTAATTCTGAAATGACACCAGTTAGTACTTTGCATTGAGAGGTGATTGGTTCTGTATCTATGTTTTCTCTCTCTGCTTAATACTTTTCATCTCTTGTATCCCCTTATTACTGGATCAACAAACTGTCAAGTCACAAAGCACTGAAATGCCACAGTAGAATCTAATATCTTATTTTTTCTCATCAAACTATGTTTTAATAGGTCTCAAAAGTCTGTGACAGAGCTTGTTCAAGTTGTTTTCATAGTTTAATAACTTTCTTTATTCTTGAGAATTTTATCTATAAACACAATGAACAATGATCACAATAGCCCCCATTTCACACCCCTTCCCCCATATTCTCCCATAATTTTAAATTTAGCTTGTGCCTATTAAAGAACACATGGTGTTTTCCTTTATGTAGCCAGCTTATCTCACTTTACATAACATCCAGTTCCATCCATTTTTCTACAAATATCCTGATTTCATTTTTCCTTTACAACTGAACAAAGCTCCATTTTGTAGTTCTGCCAGATTTTCTTCACCTATAATTTGTCAGTGGTCATGTTTGCTGGCTTCCTTTCATAACTCTTGTGAATAGTGCAATTATTATAAATAAATATGCAAGTGTGGCTTTGGTGTGTTGGCTTAGAGTTATACATATATCCATGTATTTTAAAACAAACTAAGTTGGCAAAATGCTTCACAGCATGTTGCAATCTCTTATTTTGCTTTGAAAATTCAGCATGAATACCCATGATAGAAGTCCTTGGTTTAAGTTTTCAGAATAACAACTATTGCCATCTCAGAATGTTGCCTTCCTTCCAATTATTGAAACAAAATATATTTGGAGTCACAAGACAAGCATTTTTCAAGTTTTTCAGCTAGTTCAAATGTACCAACATGAACTAGTAATAGCTATTCTTCACCAAAACTTCCAGTCAAAAAATGTAGGATTTATTTCCATGTTTTATGCAAGAAAGTGTACATTATATTTATTTTTACCATGCATGAACCCAATCTTACCCAGAATTTCTAAAACAGAACTGTATTTGTCTGTAAAGATCCCACATTCTTCAAATTAGTTCTCTGTCCATTTGGTCACATCAGTATATACATTTATTTCTACTTCAGGACTTCTGAAAACCCTCAGTTTGCTTGTCTTTCAAGGGAAACTAGTTTTTCTACCACTTTTCCTATCTTGGTTTGGCCACAATAACTGCCTTTTCGGTGTACATGCTAACAGCACAAGATGGATATGATTTTCTGTATTTCTCAATGGAAATCTTTCGTAGCTGTGACTATTATGCCTTCCTTTAACATGAAGCAAAATGAAATTTTCACTTGCTCTTCATTTGGTCATAGAGAAAGCAAAATTCTTCACCAAAGATTTCACAGATATTCATTTGGTGGGCCTCCCTGGACCCTATTCCAATAAACACTGTGTTGTCTCTTAATTTGGGAATGTCAAAAAACATGTTCTTGGATCAGTATCGGCCAGCAATGAATCTTCAGAAGTTGTTTTTCTCCCTCACAATTTTTTTGTTTTTTATTTTTTAAAATTCTTTTCCTTTAGCTTCAATGATGCTTGTTTCTTTTTCGACTCTGATGCTAAGAATTCCTTCATTTAAAATACTAAAACATTTAATATTAGATATATTTCTGATCTCATTCAATCACTCAGTAAGGAAGCAGGTCCAGAAATAAAAAGACTCTAGTAGTCAGGTGCATGAGTTTTTAGGACAGAGAGCCTTGAGGGAGAACTCTATATGAAGAGTGTGAAACCGGAGGTCCTTTCTCTGTTTCGTATTTCTCGGGCCTCTAGTGTCTACAAATTGCCTGCTACATTGCTAGGGATCAACCATAGGAGCGTTACCTTTTTCTTCCTGTCTGTGAAGATTCAAATAGAGTTTTCATATGAAGAAGACAGCCACTGTGGTCTTTTATGAAGAAGAGCTGGATTCTGCAAGGTGCACAGCTGGAAGATGAAGCATTCTTCAGAAGTCTGACGTCCTTGGCTCCCTCGTCCCAGGATTTTGCCCATTGTTGTCTTCTCACAGTTTCAATGAGTTCAAGTTCTGGTTCCCTCCCTTCAAATGCCCCGTGTTCCCTTTTACATCCTGGAGAACTGGGTTCATCATTGAGCTGTGGCAAGTAGCTGGAGGAGAAAAGATATGCAGAAATATGATCCTGGTTTCAAAAGCTCAGAAACATTTTGGCTGCAGTTTCTGCCTCTGTCAATAGGTTTCAGGAGATGGGAGTCCTATAATTCACAATGCCCATCTTCTGAGAGGGAAAGAAGAGCCTGGGACTTGTCCTTCACAGGAATATTTCCAGTGACCAACATTCTCCCTCCACACACTTTTGCAATGAATTACCTGTATGACATGTTCCAGGGAAATACTCCCGCAGAGTAGGGAGCAGAAATTTCCACAAGAAACCAAATATGGCATTAGTTTTAATGTCCCAGAGTCTCAGGAGAGTAACCAAAGCTCCTGGAAGAAAATGGTAAAACTTTCCAACTTTAGTCTTTTTAAGCTTTACTTTTAGAATGATTCTTTAGATTAGTGGTCATGATGATCATTGAATGTAACAGGATTTCATACCTGTTAATATGGGTGATGGCGCTAGCTGAAGATGAACAAAACTAGCTCTTGACCCATTTCTCCTTGTGATCTACCACAATGATTTCCATATTTTAAAATCTGGGACATTGGCTGGCTCTCTGTGCGCTTGCTCCTAACTGGAAAAATACACTTATAACTGCAACGGAAGGGTGTTTGGGGGTGGGGGGACATCAATATACAATGATTCTAATGGAAGTGTCCTCAGACATTTTCTTTCATAAGCATAGATGTATAGAAAACAGGATGACATTGAAGAAATAATGATGATATTAAAATAATTATTTCCCTAATGCCATATACTCCAGGGAAAGAAGAGCTAATTAGAAGAGACAGAGATAGATGTAGTATAGACACTTACTTGGCTTGAAGGGGCGTGTTATGAATTCAGACTTCTAGAACATAGGCATCAATCCATGAAATTAAAATATTAGTATCAACGGACACAGGAGCATCTACATGGGCCATAAATAACAGAGTGTAAGTCATAAGAATTACTTAGGGAAACTCCAATTTGGAGGATCAATAGTACACACTTCACTTGTGTGCTATTTTGTGTTCCTTTTACCAAATAATGTGGAAAAAGAAAGGAAGTTGAAGTTCTCACTTTTCATTATAATAGTGAATTTTTTTGTTCAATGCACACATGTTTAGGGAAATTGTAGGATTAAGCACCGGGTCTTTGAGCCCTCTTTAAGAGCAGCTGTCTAATGCAGGGCCTGGTGGTACATGCCTTTAATCTCAGCCCTTGGGAGGCAGAGGCAGGTGGATCGTGGATCTCTGAGAGATCAAGACCAGCCTGGTCTACATGGTAAGTTCCAGGCCAACTGGTTCTATAGGGCAATCCTGTCTCAAAAAGATAAAAAAAAGAAAAGAAAAGAAAAAAGAAAGGTAAAGAAAATAAACGTAAATGAAAGAAGAAAAGTCTCTGTCTATTCATCTTCCATTAGATCTGGGGTATCCTTTGTTGATTCAATTATCATCAATTCTTCAAGTTTAATTAACCTCCAAATCTTAGTTCCTCCAGACCAATGTAAGCAACCTCCCTATCTAGTATAAATCTGTCAAACAGTAATGCCACCATGAATTTGCTTGAATGTCCTCACTATAAGAATATAAACCTCAATCTGCATGCAGGTGCTTTTGTTAAACTATAACAGAGTTGAACCCGGGCATCTTTAAGCTAACAAATGCTTAGTGATGGTAACACTGATGGTCTCTCTCAAATACTGCTTTGCCTCAGTAGATGCTCAATGAAACACTATGTAAATTACCTTTAATTCACTGACCTTTCTCTGAGATTTCAGTAGGAAAGTGCCACATTCTATCTTCCCTTTGTGAAAATGCTTCCTCTCTCATCAAGAGATACCACTCCGTTGACACTGTTCAACACAACATTCACCACAAGGTCCAATGTAAAGCTAATTCTTCTTTAGAGAGTCACTTCTTTTTAACCAAGGAACAAATAGAGTCTTTGTTAGAAAGGATAGACTTTGGGACTCTCCGTGTGGGCTTCCCACATCAGGGGAGACAGCACAAACCTCTACACGGAAAGTACAAATACCTTGTATTGAACTAACTCAAAAAATTCCCTGAAGGACTCTTCTCACTCTTCTGGACAGCTTTCCTGGGAACTGTATGCTTGGAGAGTCGTTACCATGGTGGATTTTGGAGTCTTTCACCATGAGTGAGCTACACATCTGTTCTCTTCTAATTTTTATGGGAGCAGAGCCTAGGAAGACTCTGACCCAGACATTGCTTTCTTTACCTTTACTTGTGAGTGCTGTATTTAGGCAGTAGTCTCCTGTTTTGACAACCTTCCTTAGTTATGCTCACTCTTGTTTCTTTTCTTTTCATTCATTCATTCATTCATTCATTCATTTTTTGAGACAGTTTTCTATGCAGCACCAGCTAACCTGGAACTTATTATGTAGCTCAGGCTCACCTGCACGGGACTTTTTAACACTTTCACAAATCACATAAATTTGGGA